CACAACGCCATATTGGGCCGTCCGGGGCTAGAAGATTTGGAGGCAATTGCCTCTGTTCGACACTCATGCATCAAATTCCCAACTGACACTGGGGTAGGAGTGGCTCGAACAGATCCTGCCATAGCCCGAACGTGCTACCGGGAAGCTTTGAAACAAATGACCACCCGGGGACAGCGGGTAAACAGCATTGAGGTACAGACCCGGCGTACGGAGTTCGAGGGACGCCCCGAGCCAGCCACCCTCTTAGAATACATCGAGCTTGATTCCCCTCCCGATCGTAAAATTGCGATCGGGGTGGACCTTGAAGGGGGAATCAGGGAGGGGGTGATCGCTGTCCTGAAGAGATTCCAGGTCCTATTTGCCCGAGGACCCGAAGACATGCCGGGAATTGATCCGGCCCTCATCTGCCACAAGTTGGCCGTTCGGCCTGATGCCAGGCCAGTCCAACAGAAGAAGAGATATCAGGCGGCCGAACGGCGGGAATTCACAAAGCAGGAGGTAGCCACCTTACTGAGAATCAGGCACATTAGACCAGTCATCCATGTCGAATGGTTGGCTAATGTGGTCCTTGCTCCAAAAGGAGCTACTTGGAGAATGTGTGTGGACTACTCTGATCTGAACAAAGCCTGCCCCATGGACCCCTATCCTGTCCCACGAATAGACCTGCTGGTGGACGAAACGGCAGGATGTGAACTGCTGAGCTTTATGGATGCCTTCCGGGGTTATCACCAAGTCTTCATGCACCCAGATGATGCAGAAAAAACTGCGTTCGTCACCTCGGACGGCGTGTTCTGCTATATCGTCATGCCGTTCGGGTTGAAGAATGCAATGGCCACTTTTCAAAGAATGATCGGCATACTCTTCAAAGAGGTACTAGGGGTAACCATGGAGGCATACGTAGATGACATCCTGATCAAGAGCAGGAAGAAGGAGGATCATGTCCGGGATATGGAAAGGGTCTTCGGGATCATGCAGAAGGCCAACATGAGACTGAATCCAAAAAAGTGCGCCTTCGCAGTCAAGGGGGGCAAATTTTTGGGTTATATGATGAGCGAGCGGGGGATTGAGCCTAATCCTGAGAAAGTAAAGGCAATCATGGACATGGAAGCACCGCGGAACTTGAAAGAAGTTCAGAAGTTGACCGGAAGGTTAGCGGCTTTGAGCCGATTTATGGCTAAACTGGCCGATCGCGCCATTCCATTTTTCCAAATAATGAAAAAGGCCAACCCGTTCGAATGGACAACAGAATGTCAGGCAGCTTTTGAAGAATTTAAATTGTACCTGTCTTCCCCCCTGGTCTTAACTAAAGCAGACCCGGGGGAACATCTCTATATGTATCTGGCTGTGGCTGATCTGGCGGTCAGCTCTGTTTTATTAAAGGAAGATGAGGGCGTTCAGCGCCCTATATACTTTGTGAGCAAAGCCCTGAACGGGCCAGAAACCAGGTACACCCTACTGGAAAAAACCATTTTAGCATTGATTGCTACCATCAAACGACTGGCACCCTATTTCCAGGCCCACCCAGTCACCATCTACACCACCCAGCCCCTGGCCACCATACTGAGAAATCCTATGGCAAGTGGGCGTATCACCAAGTGGTCCCTCCTGATCGGGCAGTATGAAATAGACTTCAAGCCTCGCCCCACGATCAAGGGACAGGCTTTGGCTGACTTCATTGCCGAATGCACTGCCAGATCAACTGCAGAAGGAGCGAACGGAGGAGTACAGGACCATTGGTGGGAAATGTATGTGGATGGAGCATCCAGTAGCAAAGGCTGTGGTGGGGGTGCTGTGATCACATGCCCCGAGGGGTTCAAGGCATACTACTCCGTACAGTTTGACTTCAAGGTAACCAACAATGAGGCCGAGTATGAGGCCCTTATTGCTGGTTTAAAGTATGCCAAGGCCCTGGGGGCCAGCAGATTAAAGGTCCGTTCGGATAGTCAGCTGGTGGTAAGCCAGATTAATGGATCTGCCGAGGTTAGGGAAGAACGGCTAAAAGCCTACAAGGAACTGGTTGAGGAAGAAATCGGCAGGTTCGAACAGGTGGTGATTGACCAGGTTCCCAGAATCGAAAACAGTGAGGCAGACATCCTATCCAAACTGGAATGCGCCGTTCGGGATGATCATGCCTCGGGCATCCCTGCACACATCCAGAGGTTCGCACAGAAAGAAATACTGACCACACCGGCAACAATGGTTGTGCGGGTAGATGTCGTGTCCTATGCCGTTCCAAGCTGGGTCACTGACTTGACAAATTACCTGAAGGATGGGACTTTGCCGAACGATAAAAATGACGTGTACAACCTCACTTGTATACAGCGAAGGGCCCCAATGTTCGAACTAGTGGACGGACAGCTGTACAAAAAGACGTTCGGGGGGCCATATCTGAAATGCCTTCCACCCGATCAGGCAGCCGCTGTGATGGAAGAAATTCACGAAGGTATCTGCTCCAGCCATCAGGGGCCAAAAACCCTGGCTAGGAAAATCATCCTGCAGGGTTACTATTGGCCAACTATTCAGCAGGACTGTTTTGGGCACACAAAGAAGTGCAAAATATGTCAACTCTACGCACCAGTACCTGGGCGGCCTGCGACCTTTTACACTCCAATGACCATATCATTACCATTCGCTAGATGGGGGATCGACTTGCTAGGGCCCCTACCTAATGCGACCGGAGGAAGGAAGTACATCATAGTAGGAATTGATTACTTCACCAAATGGGTGGAAGCCGAACCCCTGGCCAGTATCACGGATTTTCAATGTCAACGTTTTGTTTGGCAAAATATTATATGCAGATTCGGGCTGCCCGAGCAGGTCATCACGGATAATGGACGACAGTTTGTGAGCAAGAACTTCGAGGAATTCCTCACTAGATGGGGAATCAAGCATTCAAGGGCTTCCGTAGCATATCCGCAGGCGAACGGGCAGGTAGAGAACATGAACAGAACCATCATGGATGGTATAAAAAAGAAGCTCGAAGATTACGCGTCAACCTGGCCCGAACAGTTAAACTACGTCTTGTGGACATACAGGACAACTCCCCGAACAGCAACCGGAGAGACACCGTTCGCCCTCGCTTATGGATTTCAGGCTAAGGTCCCAACTGAGGTCTTGGTGCCCACTCACAGAACCATCCACTATGATCCTGAGCAGAATGAGGACAATCTGCGTGCTGAACTCCACTTCATAGAGGAAAGAAGGGATCTCTCAGCCTTACGAATGGAGGAATATCACCGGGCGACTAAGAGGTATGTGGATAAGCAGGCTAAAATCCGTTCGATCGAAGTCGGAGACCTTGTCCTGAGGAATAGAGAAAAAAGCAAACCGCTAGAGGGCGGGAAGATGTCAAAGAATTGGGAGGGACCATACCGGGTCTGGAAAAAATACCGGATAGGGACTTTTTACCTACAGGATACCGAAGGCTGTCCGGCAGGGATATGGAACGCTACGCACTTGCGGAAATTTTATCAATAAAAAACGGCTGTTGCCACCTCTAAAAAAAAAAAAAAAAAAAAAAAAAAAAAAAAAAAAAGAGGGAGAACAATGCTTCCACAGAGGCCAGAGTTAAGAGGAATATTGCAAGCCCAACGGCATTAACATGCCGAACGGCATCACCACAAACTCGGCCAAAAGTCTCACCTTGATCTATAGATATCATTTATCTCGATCCATGGGGAGCCATCATCTCAGCACAAAAAAAAAAAAAAAAAAAAAAAAAAATACAAGGTGCAGGATACCAAGCCCGGACTCGGCTTGGGGGATGGTGTAAAAGATCTTGAGTAGGACGAACCGGGCGGCATCCGAAGTCATAGGGTGACCGAGCGGGGGATCGGGACTCTGGTCTTAAAATCTTGCCTTGGGCATACAGCTCGCCTGAACTTTATGGTGGTGGAACCCGAGCTGTATCCTGGAGGCGAGTCTCCATTTTGGCAGAGAATAAGGGGGAGACCCGAATTGGGAGCCTTATTTTCAACGGACCAGGATGGACATCTCAACCTCAGAATATGGATGACCCCGGACGGTAAAACCGACGGTATGCATCGAAATTATGGGCTTGGAAGATGGCAGACACTACACGAATTGTGAAACTGTCTTGCAGCAAGAGGTGATTGCCTTGCGGATAAGGAAAACCGCGGATGATAACCCGAACAGGTTACTTTAGCCTTCAGGAAACAACCAGTCGACGGTAATAAACCGGACGGCATGCATCTGAAACATGGTGCTCGGGGGCGCAGCAAGCATTTAACATTGATGACTTGCGCGTTCAAGGAACAACCAGTCGACGGTAATAAACCGGACGGCATGCATCTGAAACATGGTGCTCGGGGGCGCAGCAAGCATTTAACATTATGTCTTGTGCGTTCAGGAAACAAAGAACAACAGACGAAAATCAATCGAACAGCTTGCACCTCAACTTTGGTGTTAGGGACGGGCCGAACAGCTTACATCTCAAACATGATGTTGAGTTGAATAAAATAAAAAAAAAAAAAATAAAAAAAAAAAAAAATTTGAGTGTTCGGGAAGCAAGTCATTCGGAAACGGATCAATCTTTATTCTTCGGCACTACTGACCGGGAATTATACATGAGAAGAAGAAAAGGGGATTACAACAGAAGTAACTAAGCTACGGGAGGATCCTTGTTCGGCACGCCATCCGAGTTGGAGTTCGGGGGATTGGCTGAATCCTTAGCCTTCTGCCTCTTCTCCATCACCCGTTGATAAGCACGGCAGAATAAGGGATCGAAACCTTCCTCCTTGGGGTCGAAGGGTTCATCGAACGATTCCTTGATCACCTCCAGATTCCGGTCGACTAGCATATCCTGGCACTTAACAAGGGTGTCCCTTGCTAGAGCATTGGCGAAGGCTGTCCCGGACGGGGTCTCATCAAGAAGCTTGAGGCCATCATGTAATGGGTCCTTGCTCCTCTCTAGGAATTCGCCCAGATGCTTGCCGAGGAACTCCCGAGCAGTATTTTCTAGGGCGAGGTTCAGGCCTTTCCCCCGTTGGAAATCAATCACTGCCTGCTGAGTGATTCTAGAAATATCGGCCTGAACGGGTGCTGCTGGCTGTCCGCCCTCTTTAGGCTGGGTCTTTTTGAACTTGACACCAGCAGCTTCGGCAGCAGCAATCTTGTCCTTCAGCGCCCGGATCTCCCGATCGCGACGCTGGAGCCTCTGTTCCAGTTCGGCCAATTCAGCCCTGGCCTTGTCACCCTTGTTGGCTCGATCTTGGAGATCTGCAGCCATTTTCCTAGCAGCAGCCAAAAGGGTTTGGCTCTCGTCCAGCTCCTGATGAAGAAGGGTCATCTCCCGTTCAGCTGCTAGGAAGGCCCGGTGATAGTATGTACCGGCCTGTGGAAAAAGAAACAACAGTAAGAACAGGTCCAAGAAAAAAAAAAAAAAAAAAAGTTATAAGAAGAAAGAACTGAACAGTCAAGGGCATACCTTAAGGGACTCAGCATGGCCTGCTTCGACCAGATCAGACCAATGGGTCAAGTTGGTGAAGCCCTCGCCAGCTTTTAAAGAAGTGCTGCACCACATGGAGGATGCAGTCTGCCCGAACAGCGTCCGGCATTCGGCTCGGGGACCCATGGCGGAAAACTCCACCGTCAACCGATCGGGGATCGGGAGACTATCTGAAGCAACGCCTCCCCTGTTGCCCAGCTTCCTTGAAGGGGAGGGGACCATGGGCATCCTTTCCACAGAAGGATCCGTCAGGTCAATGACCTGATCGATCGGGACCAAGGCGCCGCTGCTTTCGATTCTCGGCCGCTTGTTTACTGGCCCAGATTCCCGGCCAGCCAAAGAACCTGACTGAATAGCCTTCTCCTTTCCCTTGCTAACTATGGCGGTGGAGGAAGGAGTAGGAGCAGGACGCTTTATGGAGACGGGGGGAATCACACCTACAGGAAAGAATAAGGAAAAATGAACGAGATATTGAAAAATATACCGAACGAGCAAAGTAATGGAAGAATCATACCGATGCCAGCAGCTAGCATCTTAGCGGGAGTCAAGAAAGACCGTAGGTTCTTGGAACCGGCCAGACGGAGCCTTTCGTACTGGCAGAGAATAGATGCATCCACCCTGGGGGAGGCATCCTGAACGGGGTAAGTGTTCCACCGATCAGGAAAAGGAAGCGGCGACCCCACATGTACGAACACAAATCTTTCCTCCCATTTTTCCGGAGGGGTGGGGTTATCGGTGAAGAGCGAACGGCCAGGACGGGCTACAAGCCGCAGGTACCCGGTGGTCCAATAGGGCTGAACGCCATAGCAGTGCAAAAAGAGATCGGCGCTAGGGGCAATCCCCAACTCATGGCACCAAACAATGAACCCATTCAGGATCCTGTAGGTGCTAGGCACGAACTGTGCCGGCAGTACTGACACCCGGCGGAGGAACTCCACAACGAACGGGTGCAAAGGGAACCGCAGACCAGCAATCAGGGCGTCCATATGCACCAACACACATCCCGGACGGTGTCGCATGGGATGTTTGATGAACCCCGCATTAAACTGACGGGGTGGAGGTAGTAATTGGCGCAGCGTCTGTTCGGCATCTGCTGGAAGGCGTTGACGCTGTTTCCTGATGCAGTGGAAGTTCAGACTATAGCGAGGGGGGCGTTCAGGCATACCCCTTTCGTAAACGACAAGGTCATCCCCCGACTGACATCCATCATCAGGGAGGGGCTGTTCGGGATGAAGTGAGGAAGAAGACCCGTTAGAACCCGACGATCGGGTAGATGTACCTTGATCTTTGGGGTGAGCTTTTCCCCTCGAATGGCGAATCAGAGTGGGTACCATCTCTTCGGAATCTGACGAACCAGAAAAGGCAGACATAAAATAACAGAGAAGATTCTAGAGAGAGAAAGCTTGAAGGAATTCAGAAGCAGCAGAAAAAACTGAAACAAAATAGCTACATCCTTATATAAGGAAATGCTACCGCCAAGAATCCAAATGAATAACTGACAAGTGTCAAGACGGTTGGGAGAAGTTAAAGCATCCTTTGGGATAAGAGAACACCCGAATGGGTTGAAATCAACAAAGTTCACGAACCTCTACGATTGAAAAAAAAAAAAAAAAAAAAAAAAAAAAAAATTCTACATGGGGAGGGTAAAAAATCTACAAGCGCTTCCCCGAACGGGATACACCAAAATGTAATGAAGAATGATCGGTGTACCCGAACAGTATGGTTAGCTTACATGGAAAAATCTGGCAGATGCAACGAAGAGGGTAACACTACATCCCGAATGCTGAAGACAATTACCAAAAAATTGACGAGGAAAGTACAGGAGTGGAGTTTATACCCCGAACAGATGGGGAGGGTAAAAAAAAAAAAAAAAAAAAAAAAAAAAAAAAAAAAAAAACAGGAAGAAACATAGTTTATACTCCATAATGAACTATGGAGTTCATTATGAATGATATCGAATAAACAGGTCGATCAATATTAAAATCCTAAATTCTGGATTTAGCGAAGGGGTGACGCAAACCGGCAAATCTGATCGCTATAAACTATGGAGTCGAAACAGGAAGAAAGCAACAGGAAATGTATTACAAAGGCAAATTGATGGGTGAGAAAACAAGTATGGAGTACAGGAAAAGAAATTACAAAGACAGAAGTTGCAAAACAAGTTGTGTATTCATCGGCTCTACTGGCCGGAAAGTACAAAAAATACTAATTTAAAGAAAAAGGGGTACAGATGGAGGTCTAATCTATTTGTTCGGGATGATCCTCACCCTCTTCATCATCATCTTCATCAGCTTCTTCGTCAACAACCTGCACGACCTCCATCCCCAGGGCTCGCCGGCATTTTTTCATTTGTGCCATCAGGGCGTTCAGATGACCCGGATGGAGGTCAGAGGGCAAGTCAGAGGGCTGCACCGAACGGCCCATCTGTTTTTCTAGGAGGGGGAGGAGAGGCTGGAGCATGTGTTGACAGCCTGAGTTGTAGACTCCCCGGGCAAGATTATCGGCCCACTCCTTGGTGATAGGGTGCTGATCAAGCACCCTGATCCCCTCCTTCTGGCGCTCTTCTCCGGCCAGTTTTTCCAGATGCCTCCCGAAGACAGCGGGGAGCTGTTCGGTGGCGTACTTCTCCTTCAGAGCCAGAAACTCCTCCGAAGTCTTGAAGGAATCCCGAACGGCGGAAAGATCAACTGTCATTTCGGCCGGTCCGTCCGGGATCTGAGGAGGAGCTTCAGAAAACTTGACCTGAGCGGCCTCAGCTGCCGCGATTTTGGCTTGGAGAGAGCCCACCCTGACACGAAGCTCCCCGGCCTCAGCTTCTAGCTTCTTCCGCTCCTCGGCAAATGCTCGCCGTTCAGCTTCCACTGCCTGCTCAGCTGTTTCCTTGGCCATCAGCAGGCTTTGTTCCTTTGCCTGCCTGGCCTCTCTGAGTTTCAGGCTGTATATTCCCGCCTAATGATCAGAAAGTAAAATATAAGCACATGATAAGTTATCAAGCAAAGAAAAGGAAAGAGTGAATTATGAGCATAAGATAATGAGCTACCTTCAGGACAGTCAGAGCAATACACTCCTCGGCCTCCTCCACCGGTATCGGGGGAAGATTGTGGCCATTGAGAAATCCTGACGTGGACCAGATCTGGCTCGCCGGACAGCCACCCCGCTCCAACATCTCATGAGCAGGATCGTAGAGGGAGATCCGCTCGAACTGACTAGCCAAGTCAGCCTGATGGGCAGCCACCTCCTCAGCAGAAAAATGGTGGGACTGCTGGTCAGAAAAAAGCTGATCCATCAGCGTGTCAGCATGAGTTTGCTGATCAGGAGCAACCTGCTGCACAGGTTCTACATCCCAAACAGGTTCAGGCTGCTCGGGGAGGAGGGGGGCGGGTTGGGAGGATGTCCCCTGATCGGCCTTCCTCAACCTCTTTCTCTTTGTCTTCCTCTGCTGCTTAGGAGGAGAGGTTGGTGGCTCGTCATCAAATCCAACAGTGAAAAGCCTGCTGTCATCCATGGCCGGTTGTTCGGGGTTATCTCCTTCGGACTCTGATTCGCCTTGCTGAGGGGCTGGCAAAACAAACAAAAGCGCAAAATTAGTACCGAGCGGTTCGCACGTGGATTTAAAGTACTATCACACGGGAAGGACCGCCCGGACCATGGTACTTGGTTTTCAGTCAAGAAACCCAGGAATACGGGCAGTACCTATCCCGGCTTTAATAAGTCGTTCGGGAGTCAGATATGGCATAATCTAGAAGCAACCACCCGCCTCCACAGCAATGATATCCTGGCTAAGATCTTCAGAGATGAACGGTTCGGGGGACTTTGGCGGAAAGGCATTCCACTTTCTCGGGATTAGGCCGTTTGGGACAGATACAAAAAAGAACCGATCTTTCCATTCCTTGATGGAGGAGGGAGCCTTGGAGAACAAAATATGACCTGATCGGGAACTCGCGACAAGATAACCCTGGGCTTGTTGTGGGATGACCGAGAAAAAGTAATGAAACAGATCTAAGGAAGGGGTCACCTTAGCTTCCACGCAACGACAAATAAAACCAGCCATTGCCCGGTAGGAGTTCGGCATTATTTGGGCTGGCACTATATTGTAATAATTTAAGAGGGAAACGAAGAAGGGGTGAAGGGGGAACCTAAGGCCAGCCTTAAGGGAATCAAAATGGACCACGACCATCCCTGGGAAGTGGCGCATTGGGTGGAGCCCCGATTGGAGGCGGAAGTTCACCGAATCAGGAAGTAACATCTGGATTTGGGCCCGGTTCTGGGCCGTGAGCTTTTGGCGCCTAAGCCTAATCAGGGCTAGGTCAAGCTTATGACAGGGAACGCCGCTTGGAGGACCGGCTTTCATAACTTCCAATTCATCTCCCGATTTGGTGCCATCAGGGTAAACGTCGGAGGAGGAAGAGGAATCATCACCGTTAACTTCCGCCGGAATAGGGACAACTTGCAGCACATCGTTGAGGTTTTCCTCTGGGATTGCAGTGCCGGAAGTAGAGGGTTCAGATGAACGAAGGGGTGCCATTCTCACCGAACGAGGGAACTAAACAGTAGAAGGGAGTTCGAAGGATACCTGAACAGAAGCAGCGGGAGAAGCTCTAGAGAGAAGGCAGAGTACTAAGCCGGAGATATCAAATTTCGAAACCCAGAATCAAAACCAAAAGAGCCCATTTATACTCTGTCACGCCGATTCAGCTGCCAATCAGAAGAGGACACGTTTTTTGTAATGATGACAGAGACACGTGTCGCACAGAGAATCCTTCTCAAGTAATCATGACGTTTATCGGAGAAGCGAAACGGCAGTTGCAAATAACCGTCAGAACATACCTCGGGAACCGGCGGAAGTCCATCCGATACTCACCCGAACAGCATTCGGGCAATAATCTTCTACTTCCTTATGCGCTCACTACCGTTCGAGACATAGGAAGTGGGGGACTAGTGTTGGGATATTGGGTCCAGGCCCAACATCCCTAGGCCCAAATCCGGGAAGAAGCAGCAAGCCCAAAGAACTCCCGAACGGCATTCGGGATAAAACTTATACTTGGAACATTCTGGGTAACGATTATGCCAAGGTATCAAGGCCCAAATATCGATCGGCGTTCGGGATACTTCAGGTAGAAATTATCACCTATGGCGGGGTCCCACACACCGAACACCTTGACCGAACGGGCAATCAGCAAGTGGAGGCCGCATTGAAGGCTGGATCATGGCGGCA